CAACTGAAGCAACTTAGCACACATGCAGACTTATAAGAAACTGCCAAATTGTTCTCCAAAGCCTGTACCATTCTGTATCCTTACCAGCAGTGTTTCAGTTCCTTCACAGCCTCACCAGCTCTATTTATGGGAAAGAACAATTAGATAGCCTTTGCACCTTTTTGGAAAATCAGTTGATATGTGTTGGCCTATTTCTGGATTCTGGAGTTCATTTCATTGATGTGTCTATTTTTTCACCAGAACCACCCTGTCTTAATTACTGTAGCTTCACAGTAAGTCTTGAGATCAGGGAGTAAACAACTCCAATTGTTCTTCCTTTTAAAAATTGCCTGGCTAGTCTAGTTCCTTTATTTTTCCATATAAATTTTAGTATTACCTTGTCTACATCTGTAAAAAAGATCCTGCAGAGATCTTGATTTGGATTGCACTGAATCTATAGTCAGTTTGGAAAGAATTGATACCTTAACAATATTGAGTTTTCTAATCCATGAACATAGTACATGCCTCAATCTGTTTAGGTCTTCTTTCATCAATATTTTCTGCTTTAGAGATGTACATAGAGATTATGCACATATTTTGCTATACTTATACCTAAGTATTTCCATTTTTGTGCTATTGTAGGTGGTATTATCTTTTTATTTGGCATCGTCTTTTAAACTTTCAAGATCCAGTTGTTTAATGTTACTATACAGAAATACAATTGATTTTTGTATATTGAGCATGCATCCTCATTGAGGGCTTCCCAGGCAGTGCAGTGGTAAAGAATTTGCCTGCCAATGCAGGAGACTCAAGAGACGTGGGTTCAATCCCTGGGTTGGGAAGATCCCCTGGAAGAGGAAATAGCAACACATTCGAGTATTCTTGCCTGGAAAATTCCATGGACAGATGAGTCTGGTGGGCTATAGTCCATGGGGTTGCAAAGAGTCAGACAAGACTGAGCTACTGAGCACGGCATGTCCTCATTGATCATTCATCCTCTTTTTCTGGTTCTTTGTAAGTTGAGTAATTTCAGATTGTATCCTGGATTCTGTGAATGTTATATGGTGTAGACTCTGGGTTAGTGCTGGGTTTTTGTTGTTGCTGTTGTTTTAAGAAGAAATCAACTAATTTAGTTTCAGACCCAAAGTTGTGTCTCACCTTCTGTTGGTGGTGGTTCTAATTTCAACACAAATCCACAAAAGAAAAGAGAAATAAAAGGGAAATTTAAACCATGCAGATTACTTTTCCAAAGTTTTGCTCTCCTGGACCACCTGCCTGCTTTTGTTTGATTTTCAGAGTCATTAGGTAGTTGTGTTTTGTATTTTTGTCCAGAGTTTTTATGTAATCAGTAGGAGAGACAGGTTCTAGTAGACTTTGTCTCGATCAGAATTTGAAACACCTATGCTGAAATTTTGAAAAAGCTAAGAGAAATGAAGTCTCAAAACACCATGAAGACAGCGACAGCAGGAGAAAAGCTCAAAACTAAAGAGACAACAGTAAACACCTCTCCCATGTTTAGATTCCTGTTCAGGTGTCAGGGCGCTCCTAAATGGTGGTATCCAGGCCAATAGGATTATTTCTGTGTTTTTTTTTTTTTTTTTTTTTTTTATGAGAAGATTAAAGAGCTGGTCATTTGCCTATTTGGTCTCAGATCTAATCCTCTGATTTTCTCCTGTTCAATGCAAGGCATTGACCATTGCAGGCTACATTTCCCCAATTCTGTGAATATTAGCTTCTAATTAAGGGTCTGCCAATAGGAGGGCAGGAGAGAAGAAACCACAGAGTATTTCTCCCACTCTTTCTGCTTTGGAAGCATCCCAGGAACAGAGGTCTTTCTTTTCTGGTCTGGATTCATCAGATACCCTCTCCCTCCACATCCCCGCTGGGTTTCCCTGGTCCTTGGCTCAGTAACACCACCTCCTCTCCCTGTCCTTCCACCCTATAGGTGGTAGTCATTTCCTGTTGTACCTGGGTTGCCCTTTTCAACCCTTGCAACATTTTTATAACCAGCTTCTTTGATCTGATTAAATACTGGCATAGGCTTTGTTTATCTGGACTTGGACTGACACAGTCCATGAGGGAGGGCAGAATCAAAGCTCTAGCTCCTGTCTCCTGACTCAGGAGATACTGAGAGTGTCTCCATCACCCTTCTCTAGCTGGAAGAGAGAGTCAGAGGAAACAGACCAGCTTCTGGCCAACCAGGAGGGCAATGCACTGATCTAAGCTGCACATTATTTTACAGGAGTGTAAAAAAAATTGTTCCACATATATGACCAATTCCCTAGAGAAATTATCTTGTATCCAGCAGCACCTTCCTTTCGTATGAATACAGTATCCTGTCATTTAGGACTCTGAATCTTCCTCACCCGTACCACCACTCCTCCATGAGTTCTTTTGAAACAGGCAGTAGGTAAGTCATACAAAACCCAAGTGACTTTGGGAAGATCCAACAGAGCAGAAGAGACCTGAATAAGAACCAGGGCTGGGACCAGGGCAGGACTCCAGCTGAAGAGGTCAGCAATGCCCAAAAGAAGATGGGATGGCTTTATCCTAGGAGCAAAGCAGGAGTCATGGCATCCAGTGGGGTCTGAGACGGGTCAGAGGCTTGGCAACTCCCCCAGGCCCTAAGGCTGCTACATGGCAGTGAAGGGAGGAGAAGCCGTGAGGAACCCGGTTGGAGCTGGAGCTAACACGTGGCCCAGCCAGTCCAGGGCAGCCGGACAGCATTTTCTGGTCTATGTCCTGCCATGGGCTTATGAGACAGAAATAAAAGCACAGTTGGCATCTGTCACAAAAGACCTTTAATGGTCTCCTACTTATGGTTCTTTTGTTCATTTGTCCTGTTAAGAGTTGATAAACTGTAATAACTTATCTGACATAATAAGGAATGTCACAGGTACAACAGATAAACCTGGAAGGTGGCCCAGGAATAAGGGTATCACGAAAGAATCACTTAAGAGAAGGACCACAGACCTGGAGACCAGTTCTCAGTCACTTGTCACTCCCCACACCCCGGCTGAGTGCCGGCTCCCTCTGGGAAGGAAGAGGCAGCCCCCTCCCGCAGCAACTGTGGCTAGACCCCAACACTGAGCAGAAATGCTCCAGGAAGATTGTAATCCTACACGGATACCAAGTGCTCTTGGATCTGCAGAGCAGGCCATGATGCATCCTGAGTTGGTGAGTCCCCCTTCATACCCACCTCTCCCATGACCCTTGAGGCAATCCCTTTGAGGCGGACAAAGCCTGGCACTATCTCCACCTTATATAAGGGGGAACTAAGGTCAGGACCCCAAGGGCACACTTGGACTGAACACAGAATAGCACTTGGCACTCTTTCTCCCATGCCATGTGGCTTGCTGAGTCCTAAGTCTAACATTTTCACCTGGAATTCCCTGGGTGGGGGCCAGGCAGGATTCAGTGCCAAGAGTTGGTCCAGGTCTTCTCCCTAAAGTGCCCACCTCTTAGTCAGCCCTGGTGAGGGACCTGGGCAGAGGGGCAGGCCAGCAAGAAGAGAATTTGGGGGATTGCAGGTGGGGGGACCAGCCTCTCTTCAGGGACCCGCCAGTAGCCCACACACTCAGTTGATTACAAATGTGGGAACAGAATCCTATCAGAATTGCTTCAGGGAGATTTGCTGCTTAAAATGTATCTGGAGGAATCCTGCCTTCATAGGAGGGACTTTGGTCATAAAGTCCTCCCTCAGCATTTCTTTTTTGAAATCTGGACTTCCCTCCACCTGGCTGTATATTAAAGAGGAACCCAACTCTATTTTCTCTTCCTATCACACTGCTCCTCTCTCATTTCATGGGCCCGGGTCAGGAAAGTCAGGTGTCACACTGGGGCACAGACACAAGTCCTGGGGTGGGGCTGGGCCTCTTTGCTTCATTCACGGCCCCCCACACTGCCTAGGCCATTATTAGGGACAAGACCCATCCTCACAGCACCAGGCCCCTGCCCAAGTCAAACCCAGGCCAGAGCTTCAGTGGGGGTGAGCTACAAAACCATCAAATGTTTGCATGTTTACATGTGTGTATGTGTATGTGTGTGCATGTGAATAAGCAAGTGTTTGGGCCTGGGTCTGCGATGCAAGTTCCAATACGAAGATACTTTGTATTGGAATGCTAGGGCCATTCCAGCATGAAAAGCAAGAATAGAACCTGTGCTTGCTGGTCTAGGATCAAACCTCAGAATGGTGGTTTGAAGCTTTTTTTCAAGAGAAGTTTGAAGGTGAAACCTTGATAGGCAAGACAGATAAAAGAAGAGTTGTTCTGGTGGAAGTAGGAATGAGGGGGTGGGGAGGGCTGGAGACATAGCCTTTGCCTCCACCCCCATCTTCCCACCTTAGCAGCCCCTGACAAAGCTCTGTGGAATACAGGGGTTCCACAGCACTTGGTTAGAAAACAAGTGCTTCAGAGTCTGTGGATCATGGGTCCCGGGGACCTGTGCTTTGACTTCCCTTTTGGGGTGAAGAGTTGGAAGAGAGTGATGGGTGGTGGAGGGGGAGAATGGTCCCCCTTCAATGGGCCTCTCTCTGGAGCCACTGTGCAGTGAGTCTGCAGGGGAGTGGTAGAGGTGGGGATCCTGCTCCACAGTTAGGCCATTTCAGTCCTGGAAGGAGGACAAAAGTGGTGGAGCTGCCTGGCCCAGAACAAGTTGCCAGGCCCAAGGCAGGCTTACACACGAGGGTGGGGAGAGTCTGTTTTGGTCCATGTTGACTTTAAAAACATCAGAACTAGTATAGGCCTATGTCCAAGGGACCCAGGAGAGTTCAAGACGGGGGCCTAATGCCTTCCTCCAGGATGGGTGGAGGATGCCCAGCCCCCAGTCGCTGGCAGGAGGGAAGCTGCCTCTGTGGGCTGCTGAAACCACCAGGGACGAGTCAGCTGGGACTCGGATCTCCGAGTGAAGAGGCCTGGGCTTTCCTTGAGCCCAAATCCCTCCCAGGTGTCACCAAGAAGTGACAGTTGGCAGCTCTGGTTGACCCTGGAGGGGGACTGACACTTCAAAGGGGCAGGCAATTTCTATTCCACCTCACCCTTGGGGTTCTCCAGCAGGGTAGTGTGTGTGTGGTGGCGGGGGGGGGGGGGGGTGTTCAGCCGTGCTAGGTCTGGACTGGAGGCTCTTCCGAACCTGGGATCAGATCCAAGCGTTCCTGGCCTCTGACACAAAGATGCACCCAGCCCCCGAATCACTGACACTATCCATGTCTCTCTGTCTTGGTTGCTGGGACCACGGCCTGGGGGGCAGGCATTCCTGAACAGTGTCTGAATTTCCTTCTCAGCTGGGTCATCAAAGCCAAACTGGCCTCCTCTCATTCCAGCTGACCTCTGCCTAAGTGAGACGGGAGCGAGAGACGGAGGAGGTGGGTGGGAGGACTCTGCTGGCAGCACACTTCTTGTGTGACCCTGGGCTGCTCCCCCGCAGTGGCAGGGCCATCGCCTGAGCAGCCATTTGCAAATTACAGAGCTGATTCTCATCTCCTTTGGGCCTCACAAGTCCCTTGAGTTGGGTGGGAAACAAATGACTGTCCCATTTTACAGTTAGAGAAACCACGCCCAGGAGGTTGAATGAGACATTCAAGGCTCCTCGGCTAGGTGGCGACAGCCAGTGGGGAGAGGCATCGTGGGCTTCTGGGCCAGGGTACTCTTCACTGCACCATGTGGGACCAGCTTGTCAGTAACTCCCCCAGCTGAACCAAGACCTAAGCGAGCTCACCTTGCCGGTCTGGGCTCTGAGGAGGCCGGTGGAATCCAGCCAAAGAACTCAGTCCTTACCTTCCCAAGGACTGCACTCCTCTCTTGGCTGGGAAGGTGAAGAAGTCCAGCCGGCTCTCTGCCTGTAGACTTCCACCCAGGCCATGCTCTTCCTTCCTGCCCAGACTGCTATCTACATGCCGCCCACTGTAAAGTCTCAGTGTGGAGAGACGTGGTCAGCACAGCCACAAATGTGTGGACACAGACAGCCAGGACTGTGGGCTGGTGCCTGGAGCCCAGTGGGGCTCCCCACCCCCAGTTTCACTCCAGGGGTTCACCAGGACCAGGCTGACTCCAGATGGAGAGAGGCTCTGCAGAGAAGGGGTTGCAGGAGGGGGTGGGGTCTGGAGCCAACCAGAGGCTTGGGAAGATCATTTGGGCCTTTCTCAGAAAGAAGGCTGAGTGTTCACTGCTGCCGTGCATGGCTGTGCAGGAGGGCACTCAGCCCAGGGACGTGTGGAGCTGAACTCCATCCTGTGACCACTTGGGAAGCTGTGCATGCCTAAGTGGGTTGAATCCACCTGGAAGAGGCACCGTTTCTAACTCACATCAAGGCACTGTACGGGCTAGCGGCAACCATGGAGCCCTGAATGCAATGGCTCCTCATTACTTCCCCTGTAAATCTCTCTTGACCGCTTTCTGAGGACAGGGGCTGGGACTGACCCAACTCTGTGTCTCCAGCGCTTAGCACCAAGTGGAGAAGTTGTCAGCCAAGCCTGGTTAAGCCAAATGAAACTGACCACTGCTCTTCTGTAGTCCTGGGCCCAAAGAGGAAACAAAAGGTTAAACAAGCCCATGATGCTTCTTGCAGCTGGGAAAATTTCAGTTCAGCGCTGTGATAAACCCAAAATGGTCAATGTGATTTTGAGGTGGAAGGAGGTCAAGAAACCAGCCTGACAAAGATTTTGTGTGACTGTGTTAGGGACGCAGAGAGAGGTCTATTTGTAGGTAAGTGATCACCCCAAATCCTAAAGGGTCTTATACCAGCCCCAAAGGTTCCAGAAGACCACCCTGAAGAGTGTATGCTTGCCATACCTTGTTCCAACAATTCATTAACTCTCCAGCTGCCCAATGAAGTACAAACTGTCCAGCAAGCTCTGGGAGGGACTGGATGCAGTTGGGACCCTAGAATTGACTGGGGGAGGACAACTGTCCCAAGCTGACTTGTTTCTGACCTGGAGTGACGGTCCCTGGAGTGAGATTCAGTAGGGAAGGGCTGGGGTGCAGTGCCAGGCCTATGAACTGGGTAATTTCACCATGGAAAATGGTTGCAAAGTCCATCCCAGGAGGGGCTGGACTGAAGAGCTGAGATCCAACTTATATAATAAAACTTGGCCATCTCCCTTTTCACAACTGTGGGGCAGGGATAGAAAGGAGCAAGAGACCCCCTTGCCCTGCTAATCAGTACAGTTGCTTGGGTATGAGGTAAACTTCAGGACATCCAAAGAGGGTGTGAAGTAGGGCAGTGCCTATCACAAGGTCTCTTTCCCCTCCCCCGCCACGCTTCAGCAAATACAAGCAAATACAAATACCTTCTGTAACACTTGGTCCCTAGGGCCAAGCGGCTCATGCTCACTACAGCCACAGCTTGACATCAGGCAACCGCCCACCCTGCCCCAGCCCAGGGAACTTAGAAGGTCCCTTCTGAGGCCTGGAGTGGGTGTGGGGTGGTGGTGCTAGGTGCCCTCCGTTGCCCCACCACTCCTTGGGTTCAGTGAATCCTCCCTGATGGCAGACAGATCAGAATCAGTGGTTCTGGCTCCACCCACCAGACCAGAAACCCTAATGTTCACAAATTCTTGGAGGAAGAGCTGGGAGGGCCCTTTGTGATCTGGTCGAACCCCTTGGTTTTCTAGGTGAAGTACTGAGGCCCAGAGATGGAAAGGAACTTGCCCAGTCACACAGCAATGAGCATCAAAGGTCAGAGAAAAACAGAGAAATTTTAACACTTTCTGCCTCATCATCTGCCTGCTCTGTTGCCCTGGAAGTATGCCCTATGTCCTAATCACACCAACATCAGCCCATGGGCACTGCACATCCATGACACTGGGAAACCACTGTGTGTGTGTGTTGGGCGGGGGTGTGTGTTTCCCCATGAAAACAAGAGAGTCCCCCTTCCTTTTAGGTGAAGACAACTCAGTGAACCTTTCCACCTTCTAGGGAAGGACCCCCTTTGACTGTGGGCACAGTGGTCTCAGGGGCTCTCTTCCAGTCCAGCCCTGGAGACCTCAAGGGCAGGAAGACATTGGTGGCATCAGTCATTCTGGCCCTTCAGCCTTGCTTCCCACCAGTTCGCTGATCCCTCTTAAGGAAGGGAGCTGGGCAGACTCCCATCTTCTCACCCCGCCCCCATCTCAGAGTCACCCTTCAGGACACCTCCTCGAGACCTTGGTGCCTTCTGAAGACCCCTCCCTTCTCTCCGTCTCGCTCTGTGCGTATCTGTGGATGAGACAGGCAGCTAGGATATTACATCCTGACGATACTGAAATAGACTTGGGCTACTTCACATGACTTGCCTTAGACTAGGTAACTGCTGGTAAGAAAGTCAGCCCAACTGCTTTGCTCCATTCCTGGGGGTCTACAAGCCTTCACCAAGGTCACTGTCAGTCACAGAGGCACAGGGGGCAGGGATGAGGGAGGAAGAAGACAGGTGTTTGGTGGGTCCGAACTTCGAGCAGAACTGTGTGGAAAATCTATCCATGGGTCTGTCCCCTCCCAGCCAGAGGAGGGTGGCCTTCAAAGCGGTCATGTTTTAGCTGCCAGAACTGTATTAATCACCTGGGACAGTGGCCACATCCTCTCACGTGTCTTGAGCCCCCATCCCCACCCCACCAAGCCCTTGTGGCCCATCTTCCCCTTTCTGCTCCCCATCCCGAGTCAAATTTCAAGGCCAGAGCTGTGCTGGCCTGTCTGGGGGTCAACAGGAAAAGAGGGGGGATGGAGAAGTGATGCAGTGAGAGGGTGAGGGTGGTGCCTGTGGCCCTATTGGCATGGTGATGGGGGCCAATCCTGAGGCCAGGGGTTCGCCACCATGACCTGGAAGACTGCTGGGGCCCCCTGGTAGAAACTGGAAGAACAAAGGGGAGGGGGAGCCAGGACAGGAAGAAGACGAACAAGCATCCTAGTGCATGAGAGTGGTCCTAGAGCTGCCCAGAGGGAGGGCGGCCCCAGTCTATCTGTCATTGAGCCGTGGAGAGCCGGTACCATCCTCCTCTTCCTCCTTGTCATCCTTCATGCCTTTTAGTCTCTGCCGGGCAAAGTCCTCAAACACAATGTCGTCATCGCTGGTAGGAAAGACAAGGAAAACAGGCATGTTTGCAGGGCAGGGAGAGGAGGCTTATCCAGAGGGGTCAGAGAGCACAGCCCAGCAGGACCCAGAAGCCGGCCTCTGGGACTGGTCTTGGATAGAAAGGCCTGCCAGGCCAGCACATCTGGATGCCCATCAATGACAGTGGGACCAGCCAGTTGCGGAAATACCAGGGGGAGGCATGAATTTGCTAAGGGCTGGAAATCAACCCAGCTCTCGAGAAGCTGGGGTTCAGGCACACATCAAATTGTTGGTGGGGGCGGGGAGTGAGGCAGGGTTAGGGCCAGAGGAGGAACTTATTTCCACAAAGAGGCCAGGCTGACAGCAGTTCCACAGCATATTCTGAGTCCCCCAAGAACAGGCCCAGGAAACCCCATCCACCCACCCAAAGAACTACCCTCAGGAAGCATTCCTATTTTCTGAGAAAACCCCAAAGTCCCTTTCTCCAGGGAAATGTCAGCTCACATTCTACCCTGAGGGATCTTGGATACACAGGGTCTGTGGGGGCTGGGGTGGGGGCTAGGCAAAGCCAAATGGGGGTGTGGAGCAGAAAAAATGTGAGTGGAGAAAGAGGGTGCCTGAGTGGGGTTTCAGGGCTAAGGGCTGCTTCTAAGAACAGTGAGCTCCCTTCTACTAATAAAACATGTTCACATGGGCCCACTCTGCAGGCCCCAGCCCCACAGAATTCAGCCAACTGCACGGGGTATCCTCCATGGGGTGACTTAAGACCTGACACATCTCCTGGAGGACAAAGGAAGTATAGATTTGGAGCTGGAGCGAGAAAGCTGCTTGGCCCTGGAGGTGGTTCATGATGTCTGCCCAGGTCCTCCCCTCTGGCCACTGTCCCATGAGGCAACAGCCTTTGACCACAGGGTCATCCATACTGGTCCTCACGAGTCAGAAACAAGAAGATCCCCAGAACCTTCCCCACCCCATAGCCTGATTCCACTGGCTGGACACCAGCCAAGCCAGAGGGTCCCAGTCCAGGGCGACAAACCAGCCCTGTGACAGCCGATCAGGTGCTGTGGATGGACGGACGGACTGACGGACTGACGGACGTGCAAGGACGAGGGAGGAAGACAGACCCCACCAAGGCAGGAGGAAGAGGAACAGGCACCGAGGGTCCTTCAAGTCACATGCAGGCAAGCGGGTTGCTGAGGAGGCGAGCAGAGGCGGCTCTCAGCAGACGGGTTAGACCAGCTGCTCCTCGGGGTTAATTAGCATAAATGCAAATAACCAGGTAGCCCCGCCCACCGCCCAAGGCCCACCCCGCCCATGTCTGCAGGCAGGGTTCTGCTTACTTGGTGTCAAGTTCTATGAGATTGGTATCTACTGGCGTCTCGTGCTCTGGAACTAAACACAGGGCAGATGACCGCCCACGGGTTACTGGTGAGTGGGCGAGGGGGCAGGTGGGCAC